GCCGTTGTTATACTTGTCAAGTACAATCCGTGTATTTATTTTATTTATTTTTTTCAAATAAAAATTTGTATGAGTTAACTTATAATAAGAATATTATGTAGTAAACTATTTTATCTAAAAATTTATGTTTTCAACCAAATTTCTATAATATTTTACTATTTAAACTAGATATTAACCCGCGGTACACCGCGGGTCTATAATTTTATTAAATAATAATAAATTTTTTTTTTAAGATGATCTATAGATATATGCTATTGTTTTGTTTGATTTAAATGTATGGTACACTGTATGACGATATTTATAACTAAAGATTTAAAATTTGAAGTTTTAGTTGTTTTGTTAATATTATTTGTTTAGTGTTGTTTAGCGTTTAAGATTGTATAGTTATATTTTGATTGTTAATTATAGGATTTTACCCGTAGTATATCATACTGTATTAATATCGACCACAAACCCGTCCGACCATATAACTCTGTCCCGTGAAATCTACATCATTTTGTCATTTTCCAATAAAATTCAAATATTTCTAATATTTGAAACTTCATTTAATATCGACCCAAAATTCATAATAGTATTTTGATTGTTATATCTAAGATTTCACCCGTAATATACCGTCCCGTATCTTTTGTAAATATTTATAATGTTTAAATTTCTTACAAATTATTATAAAATTCAACTATTTAATATTTGAAACTTTAGAAAATTCCTAATATTATAAATATTTAAAACGTTTTATAAAATTAAACTTTTTAAAAAGTTTAAATAATTATAATATTTTACTTTTAATAAAGTTTAATAGATTAAATTAAGAACTTATATTTAAAATGTTTTCTTTGGAAACTTTAATAGATTAAATTAAGAACTTAAATATAAAATTAGTCAAAACCAAAATATACATAAAAAAGTATTAGAAAACATTAAACATGAAATACATTGGATAAGAAAATAAAATATATATGATGTGATTTTTAACCATATAAAACATGTAATTGTTATAAAAGGTTTTAAAAGATTAGAAAATTACACTTACTAACCAAAACTCGGATCCACAGGTTTTTGTAAAAGTATATATCATAAAAACAATTAAAATACAAAACATTAGAATAATGAAAATTAAGAATAAGAACTTTATTTTATTAACAAATTCATTTCCTTTTTACGTTAAAGAAAATGAATTAATAGAATGGACTTGTTATGTTAGCCTATAAAAGAAAATCATTTACAAACATTATGAGGAAACATGAAATTCTGAAAATGTAAAAAAATACTGGACATTAAAAAATTCGTATCTGAAGATAAGAAGAAGGACTAACTAACCTTTTAATGCATACCTTATTTGATAGTTTCTTTGGAGACGGAGTTGATGATGTCCATAGTTTCCAAAGATCTTAAAATCGAAAGCTGCAACATAAGAAAAGTAGGTGACAATTAATTTTTTAAAAGAAAACAAACGTGAAATATAAAATGTACTAAGAACATTGTTTAAAAGAAGCCATATAAATCTCTATTACGAAAACGTTTAGTATTGTGGATCAATGGTTGAAAAGATCTTCTTTATATAGATGAATGAAAAGTACTCGAGAAGTTTAGGTTTGACCTACAAATTAAAACAATTTTGCAAATATTCGAAAATTAAATATTTGATTCCTAATATATTTGATTTTGTATTATCAACTGAATAACGTCTATATGCATGGTGGGATTTATGAATGAGGAAAGCTAATTAAAGATATTTCCATTTGTTTTAGGAAGTTTGTTGAATAATATCTAAACGAAACAAAAAAAATCTTTAAAAGATATTTTATGAGAAATAATATATTCGCCAATTTGGGTTGGGGATCAAGTATATGAAAATCTCGTAAATATTATATGTTATATTTATTACATATACTAATTTTCACATTGTAGTTATTTAAATCAAAGATTTTAATGAGTTAATTATGGAATACAAAATATCTATGTAAATCAAAAAGTTTAAAGAACCAATAGCGCTGGAATTATTTTTTTTGCTATAACGATTACTAAAACATTTAAGTAAATAAAGATATTTCGTTTTGATTTTTCAGCATATTCGAATTGTTGATTATTTCGAAATTTAAGGATGTTTAAGAAATCATGATTGATTTCCGATTTCATAAATTTTGATTAGAATTAAAAATAAAAGATTTAGTATTTAGATAAGGAATATACTATAATTAGGATTATTAGTACTCGAATATATTAGGAATATTCGTATTGTTAGTTTATTTAATTCAAAAATTATAATTTGCGGATTTAAATGAAGATCTTCTCGAGATTTTAGGAATATAATCAAGATTTTAGTAACAAATGTGATCACATTAAAGATTTGAAAGATTTGAAAGATTTGTGTCTAAATTGTTAGAAACAAATAAGGATAGATAATTTTTGGTTAGTATTTTTTTTTAATATTTTCAAATCTTTAGAATTAAATCCATCGACATTATATTGTTGAATTTTTTTTTTTTAAATTACGTAATATTAAATAAAAAAATTAAATAACTAACTATTTTCATTTGATGGTGTAGACAAATTATTATTATTATTTATGTAATTTAATTACAAATAACAAATATTAATTTTTATAACAAAACAAATTATTTTCGTAAGAACAATTTTTCCCAAATCAATATTTTACAAAATATTTATTTTAATCACATATTCTTTCTATATAGAAATAAATAGTTAAATAATTATGGTTAGGAGTAGTTAAGGTAAATAACAAATATGGTTAGTTTAGATATATTATATATATTTCCAATTTAGGTGTTATTTAAGAATTAATGTGGTTTTAAGACAACATTCCTAAAATTCCTTATCCAAGATCCGGATAGAGATAAACCCGGGTAAAACCCGGATCCAAATGAATTAATGCAAAAAAACCCTGTAAAAATGTATATGTAGATATTTGTACTGCTTGATTTATTTTGTTCGTTTGATCATACCATCTAATCCGTTTACGTCATCAGAATTAGGGTTAGACGTTCGGATTTGATTCGATTTTTTCAGGTTTGGGTTTAGGCTCATAGAACATGTTTGAGTATTTACAATATTTAGGTTGCATCGAGGTTGGTTTCTTCTCGGTTCGGTTTGGATCAAGTTTTATCTTTCGGATTCGGTTTCGTTTAGATTTGGTTCGTATCTAAAATTACTCAAAAAAAATCATCCAAAATACTTAAAAGTATCTGAATTATCTAAAAAACTCGGTTAAAAAAAATCCAAAAATATCCGCAAATACTCAAAAATATCTGAATTATCCCTTGTTTGAAAAATCGCTAGGCGCTAGTCGGGCGCTAGGTATGGGCCTAGCGATTAATCGGAAAATCGGATTAAAATAGGGGATTAATCGGGGATTAGTTTTAGGATTATTTTAATATTTTTAAAATATATTAATCAAATATTATTTTCAAAATTGCAGTAAACACATAAAACTGTATTTTTGAGATAATGGGAAATTGTTAATAATGCCACTTTTTCAATGCCACTTTTCAAAAATACCCCTTTTTAAAAACCTTATAAAAAATGCTCTTAAAAATATAAGATTTACCCAAATATGTATGTAATATTATTAAAAATACACAAACTACATTTCTATGTATCTAAAGTCTTATAAATACTTTATAAATACCTTATAAATGCATTTTAAATACCTTTAAAAACCTTTAAAATATCTTGTAAAACCTTTGAAAAACCTTAAAAATCCTTTAAAATAACTTGTAAAACCTTTAAAAACACCTTATAAAACCTTATAAATACTTGGATCGAGTCTTCAAGTAGTAGTTACAATCCATAAGTACCTTATAAACCTAATAAAACTTTATAAAAATTTCAGATTTAAAAAGGGGCATTTTTGAAAATGGACATCTAAAAGGGGCATTTTTGAAAAGGGGCATGAGAAAAGGGGTATTTTTGCTAATCCTATGATTTTTATTACAAATTTATGATTTTTATTAAAATTTGAACATAAGTTATTGTAAAACATCAGAAACTCCTAATTTAAATGATTGAATAACAAAAATAAAACGTTTTTTATACTTGCAATCTAAAAATAATCGAGATATGTAAAATTAGGTGGGGAGTAATCGGATTAAGCGGGAAGTAATCGGATTAGGCGGAGAGTAATCGGGTAACTGATTTTTTTAGGGGATTGTAAAACATGAGAAACTCCCAATTTAAATGATTGAATAACAAAAATAAAACGTTTTTTATACTTGCAATCTAAAAATAATCGAGATATGTAAAATTAGGCGGGGAGTAATCGGATTAAGCGGGAAGTAATCGGATTAGGCGGAGAGTAATCGGGTAACTGATTTTTTTAGGGGATTAGTCATTAATCGAGGTGGATAGGGTGGGCTACCCAAATTACGTGAAAATACTTGAAACTATATGAATTACTCGAAACTATGTAAAAGAGGTTAATGGCTCTACATAATTTCGACTTTCAAACTTTTTTTTCCGTTACTAATTCGAGTTTTTAGTTCGGATTAAATATTACCCTATACCCAAAATACCTAACTCTAAGACACATTCATATATTTTTCTAGAACCGATCGAGTATTTCCGGTCGGATTCGGATTCAGATTTCAAATTCGGCATCTTTGCCTAGCGCCCTAGCCCCAATTCGAAGAATTATTGAGTAGAGGCCGGTTTTAAACATGAAAACCACGTGGCCCGACTTTGGTAAATTGATTTGACCGACTAAACCAAAAAAGAAGAGAGAAAAAGGAAAAATTGTAAACGAGTTAGTGATGATGATGTCATCATCGCTAAAAACAATCTTACACGGCTTTGTTTAAAATCCCAAGACGGAAACACTATCATTCTTTGTGATCCCATACCATTTCTCTCTTCGACGAAGGAAGAAGAAGAAGAAGAAGATATGGGTGTTGATTTGGATTTGGAATCTATCTCCGAAGCTACCTCCGGAGCTATTGGATCTCTTCTCAGCACTACCATTTTATACCCTCTTGATACCTGTAAATCCAAGTTCCAAGCCGAGATTCGTGTTCGCGGTCAGCAGAAATACAGGTCTCTCCTTCTTCTCTCCTTCTTCGTTTTCCATTTGATTGCGACGCGATGATGATCTAGAATTTGAGAATTTTGCATCTTTATGTCTTGGCATCGCGCTTCAGGAGCTGGGTTCCTGCTGAATTGTTGAAATCGGTTTTGTGTTCTGGGTTTTGATTTCGATGGTGATCTTGTGTAGATCCTCTTCTGGATCGTAATTTAGAACCTGGGTTAGGTTTTATATTGAATTTAGCTGAGAAAGTTCACTTCTTTTTTGATCAAGGCTTTTCAATGAGCTTAAGCTTTATGAATCACTATCTTTCATTGTGGTTAGAGAATATTGAGTTTCTTGAGTATCTAAAGATTTTGTTTTGTAACGTTTTTCAGATACCTGTCAGATGTGTTTTGGGAAGCAATTTCATCTGGAAATGTTCTCTCCTTGTATCAAGGCCTTGGGACTAAGAATCTGCAGTCTTTCATTTCGTCCTTCATCTATTTCTATAGTTATAGCTATTTCAAGAGGTTACATTCTCAAAGGATAGGTTCTAAGTCGATTGGAACAAAGGCAAATCTGCTCATTGCTGCTGCTGCTGGGGCTTGTACCTCTGTTTTGACCCAAGTATGTTTTATTTTGCTATGTTTTAATGTTTTGTGGGCTTTTTGTTTTGGTCAGAAATTGAGAAGCTTTTTAGTTTCTTTGTTCGAATGTCAACTTTGGGACTTGTTTGTGTTCTATCTTCTCTAAGCATAATAACTTTAAGTTCTATGTTTGTGTAGCCTCTAGATACAGCTTCATCGAGGATGCAAACAAGCGAGTTTGGAAAATCTAAAGGGTTGTGGAAGACTCTAACTGATGGTTCATGGGGAAATGCATTTGATGGCCTTGGGATTTCTCTTTTATTGACCTCGAATCCTGCAATTCAGGTACCATTTTCATTTAAACCACCTTCATATTTACTGTCTCAAACTTGGAATAACGAGCTTAGCTGAAATATAAGCTTCTCTTTGTAGTATACAGTGTTTGATCAGCTGAAACAGAACCTTCTTGAGAAAAGAACGGAAAAATCCAACAAAGATTCTTCCCCTGTAGTCCTCTCTGCCTTTATGGCGTTTGTGTTAGGTGCGGTCTCCAAAAGTGCTGCCACCGTCATCACATATCCTGCAATCAGGTATTAGCTTCCGGAGAATCACTCAAAGTCATGAAATTTTACAGCTGTGCATCAATCAACACTCTTTCGGGTGATACTGATATATATCTACATTCATGGGCTTTGTAGGTGCAAGGTGATGATTCAAGCAGCAGATGACTCAAAGGAAAATGAAACGAAGAAGCCCAAAAAAAGAATCAGGAAAACGATTCCCGGGGTAGTGTATGCTATTTGGAAAAAAGAAGGGATCTTAGGCTTCTTTAAAGGCTTGCAGGCTCAGATCTTAAAGACAGTTTTGAGCTCAGCGTTGCTACTAATGATCAAGGAGAAAATCACTGCAACCACATGGATTCTCATTCTAGCAATAAGAACTCTGTTTGTCACAAAAGGTAGGTTGAAAAGTCCATAAAGATAGCCCTTCCGCAAGAGTCCCAAGCCCAAGCAAGAGCAAAGTCATTTGTTTGCGATCTAAATCGAAAGATTTTCGAGCAGGCAAGTATTGTAGTCTTTCTCATTTTAAGAACTATTGATAATTTTTAGTAAAGATCTTATTGTAGGTCCACATAAAGCTTCATGTTGTTGCCAGATTGAGTTTCTGGGCTTAGAGATTTTTCTCTGGTTATTGTGTAGTTTATGTTTGTTTTCTTCAGCTGTAATAAAAATGGGGATTTCTACTATTCTCCAAATTTTCATGTACTCTTCACTATAGATCAATCTCTGCACAAACAAAGACATCATATTCTGATTTCCATGTCACAAAGCTTTTCAAAATCATATCTTCAAAAACCAGTATCGCCATAGTTGAAAACTCCGATAAAAAACACCAGAATCTCCCATAGAGAGACAGATACAGGGTTGAAGAAAATGTGATGGAAAGAGCCACAAAGTGTTCTCTACCAAAAAATAAGAAAAACTGACCAACAAAGACAACAATTTCTTCAAAGAAAAACTATATTAATAGTGTCATTACATACAAGATTAAGAGATGAGATCTATATTTTCATCATAACGTAAGTTGATCTACTTACAAAATAAACGATCTACTAGAGTAACAGAGTAAATTCAGCACACAGTTTCAGAGGAAATTCTTTAACCTCAAGAATTTATTTAAAATTTTCTTAAACTTAAGCGGGTTAAATGGAAAAATCATCTTCGATTTCGATGTTTTTAGAAGCAAAAACCGATGAGACAGCAGCTCAGAGGCAGTACCTCTCTCCATAGGGTTCCTTGCGAAACACGTTTGAATAAACTCCCTTGCATCGCAAGGCAAACTCTCGGGAATCTCTGGAGCGTTACCATTAGAGAGGATAGACACAAAATCGTCAGGATGAAACCCTAGCCATGGCTTCTTACCCACATACATCTCCAACACTAAACACCCTAATGACCACAAATCTAGGGTTTTCTTGGCAACACCGTCCTGTAGAGACTCCGGCGGCATGTAATTAGGGGTTCCAACAAAAGGGTATTCGATTTTCCAGTGATCAGGAATTTCTCCGACTTCTAACGAGATTCCAAAATCAGAAATCTTCAATTCGTAAGAATCTCTACACTTGAAAACAAGGAGATTATCTGACTTGAGATCGCAATGAACATAACCGTGGCTATGAATCGAGACCAAACCTTGGAGAATCATACGCGTGAAGTCTCTAATCATCAAGTCTGGTAATTTTCTATCTTTGTAATTATTCATGAAATAGCTTAAACTACCTTCGGTTGCGTACTCAAGAAGCAACTTGTAGACTCTGTTTCCTTTATAGTCAAAACCCTCTTCCAAATCGTTACCAAAGTATTGTATGATTCTCGGACATCCTCTGAGTTCCGAAAGAATCCGAATCTCTGTAAGGAGAGAGTCTTCTTCATCGGAGCTTTTTACGGCGGCGAGAAACGAAGAGCCGTCGCTTTTTGTGTACTTGAAGAGATCAACAAAACTGTAAGCACCTTCACCTAAAAACTTGACGTATTCTTCGTTTGATTCCATCTTTGGAATGCAACTAACAGAGTTGATCTATCTAGGGTTTGTTTCTTCAAATTCGAAACGAGTTATAGAACCTGAAAGTGAGAGAAATAAAAAGGAAATTTTAGTGAGAGAGGAGAAGAAAATTGAATGTTTTATAGAGTTTAGTTTAGGGTTCAAGTCGGTGACCAGTTTTTTTCCCTTCTTTTTGTGATATATTGCTCGCAACGAGAGAGAGAGAAACAAAATTGTTTATTTTACTTCTGAATTATTTTCACATCGCATTAAGTGTTATGACTTGTGCTTGTGTCAGATTGTCTTCTTCTTTCTTGGACCATTAAACCAAAATTGTTTATGTAACAAAAGTGTTACCGAATCGAATTTAGGACCTCCGAACCAAGCTCTAATTCGGTTTAATTTGGAATAGTTTCTTCCAATCCGAACAACCCGAAATTTAGTAGTTCCAAACCGAACAGAATCATTTAGGCTCAACACCCAGGCCTAGACGCTATGATGAGAATTTGTTTTATTTAAATTTTTTTATAGATTTTCAAAAGAAAATTATAACCCGAATACATTGGGGATTGGTTTAGTAATATAACCGAATGATAAGTGGAGTTACAAAGTAACCAAGGGAAAGAAAATAAATTTTCGGTGAGACATTGACTGGAGGAGAAGAGGAGAAGCGGCCGTCAATCACCGAAGGTCTCCGCTCATCGGACATAACCTAATCCGGAAGTATCTGTTGATGTAGGCAGTCGATACATTTGATGTACCAGTTCAAAGTACTACAAAAAGATATAACAGAGCTGAAGATTGTTGATATATACGTGGTGTTGGAATGGTGAATCGACGAGATAAGAGGCGTTTCTAGCACTGAGAGCTTGAATAGATTCTTTTTATAGAAGAAAAATGAGACATGAAGAAAAAAGACAATTTCCTATTTAATAAAAAAAAAGAAATTGTCAATCCTATTAGGATTAATAGGAACTTAGACTTGTATGGCTACGATCTATTATGTATACATAGAGGTGCTAAGGTTTTATAGAGGTTAGTACAAAAGAGCAAGAAAATTCTTTGACATTAAGGTTACGGGATCATTTTGTAAGAAAGCATAATGCGTAAAGAGGGTAAAAGGTTTGTCTTGAGAGGTTCTTAGATTGCATATAAATTCATGAACATGAGAGATTATAAAAATTACTAGATCCGGACCCGCACGTACGTGCGGGTAGTTATTTTGAATCGATAGGATTTACATAAAGTTATAATTTAAATGTATTATTTTGTTTTATGTAATTAATAGTAAAAATATCAATCTTTAGAAAAAACTTTGTTACACAAATTTATTTTCAGTTTGATTAATTATACATTCTGGAGAAAAGTGTATTTACTAAAAGATGCAACATGTATCATAATAGAAAAGTGTTATACAATACAATAAATAGTTAATTATATACTTAGCATAATGTGTTTAATACTAAAGTCAAAGCTTAATTCCATGGGCCATTACCTGAAACAGAAATATTTTGTTATGGGGCACCCAATATAACGTTGGGCCGAAAGAGATTTCTATACATATTGACGATGGGCCTAATTCATATTTTACCTATTACGTGAAATAGTAATCAAAATAGTAAAAAGAGAAGAATGCTTTTATGAAAGGTTAGTGTGTTTCTGAAGTTGTTACATTAGGCGTCTATTTATATGAGTTGAGGGGGGTAAGAAGATTTTAGGGTTTAGAGAATTAAATCAACAAACCGTATATTAGCGAGAAATAATTTTTAAGGTATATTCTCAATTTAAACATATCTCAATATCTAGTTTGTGAGATATGTTTGGTAATATAATAGTTTGTTAAGATAAATAATTGGTTAAGATAAAATTGGGAATATGTGATTATGATTTCTTGAGCTAAAAAGATTGTCGAGGATTTGTTTGTTATGGAAATCAGTTTAAATTTGTGTAGTTATCGATATTGAATGAATATGTTTGTTATAGAAATCTTTTTAAATGGTAACTAACTAATTTGTTTATGTCATTAATCTCCGAATATCTCACAAAATATTGGGAGTAATAGTCAGGCTACGTAATAGTCGGTGAAGCCCATTAGAGAAATACGAAGCCCAGCTCAAATGTTAGAAAACCCAATAATATTGAGAGAGGCGTGTTTTACCGTTTGTAACATGAGAAGATCACGTGAGATCTAATTGTTTATTTGTATCCATATTTTGCAATGGCATTCTTTGTAATTAATCTACCAAAATAAGGTTACTTATAGTTGAGTGCTTCCCAATTAATAATATAGATTTGAGTGAAACTTGTAAGTGAACTAAACAAATTTTCTAATAAAGAAGTTTTATTTTGTAGAAACCGTTATCTTAGTTTGTGACTTAGTTTACATATATATATATATATATATATATATATATATCGATAGCTTTTGGATTTTCAGAATAAAAAACAGCCACGGTCAAACCTTCCATCGGAGACAGTATCAAAAATCGGAGGATCGTACCACAATGTCTATTTTTACTTTTTAATGTGTATTTTTACCACAATAATCTTCTTAAAACTTAGTTTATTTTATTTTTATTTCATTTCGATTTCTAAGCGGTTTCTTTACTTCTCTTTCGTAATTATTAAAAACGCAAATATCATTTAAATTATGTTTTTGAAATAAACATCAGCAGAAATATTATTATCGAATACATATAGTTGATTAGATTATTCAGTCTTAATCAAACAATGACATTTGCTTTGAATACATTTACCGTAGTATATACCACTCGTAAGAACACAACATATATCACATTCGCCGTCCCCTCCCTTACACAGATCTGGACTGTAGCATTGTTTCTTCTTTATTCCTAAACCTATTACAATCTCTATACTATTAAAAGAGAAGTACAAATGAAAATGGGTCGGGTCAAAATAAAAAAAATTGACCCGAAATTCTGAAATCGGATCTTTGAAATTTTTTGGAATATAAATTCGAATTAATAATAAAAAATCGAACTAAAATATAGAGATATTTGTTCATATATATTAGGAACTAATTCCATAACAATCCACGTTTTTGTTATTAATTTTGCTTATTTTAGCCAATTATCATTAATTGAAAGATATCTTACTTGCTTCTAGGGGTGTCAAGTTGGTTAAACCAAACCAAACCAATCCATATCCATATTGATTTAGTGTTTAATGGTTAATGAATCAATCCAATTCATTTAGCAAATGGTTTGGATTAACCCATAACTCATTTAAATGAGTGGATTAATGGATTTAATGAGTTGATCCATAACATAGTTTTCTTATAATTTAAATCCTAATTAATTGATAATTAGTAACTATCATGTTACCACCACCATCATCATCATCGTCGTCGTCATCGTCGCCGCCGCCGTCGTCGTCGTCGTCGTCGAAATACTTGTAACTATGAATTGGTTCATAAATTGATCACAAAACGACGACCAAGGACTCCATGAGTGACGATGAGGGATCCGAGTGTCAGTGGCTTTGCCGGTGAACGGCGTTGTTGGCTTCGTCGTTTAACGTTGTCGATGGATTTGCCGGTGAAACCATAAGATTGAGAGGGATCGACAGTGAGAGATTTGACGCCGAGAAAGATCGATGGTTTAGCGATTTAAGAAAATTATGTTTATTTCGGTTTACTAAAATCAGTTTAGTGATTCAATTCGGTTATATTTGGTTTACATATTTGATTTCAATTATATAATTTTTTATTGGTTTGGTTATGGATAACCCAGTAATCCATTTTAAACCAAACCATTTCAATCCAACTCATTAAACCATTTAATCCATTAATCCATTAATATCCAAATTTTCAACTCATTAGATCCATGAGTTGGATTGGTTTGGATTAATCCATCAATTTTAAACCATTTTGACACCCCTACTTGCTTCTAAAGATTTCTATAAAATTTATCACAATTAACCCATCTATTTTATAAATTAAATAGATATTTTTATTTTGGCCATGTAAATTAAATAGATATGAAATCCATGTAACTAATTTTAATTTAATTAGATTAAATCGAAATTATGGTATTTTCATACTTATAGCTTACCAAAGAAGTTTAATTTTTAAATTATAAAGATTTCTTGAATATGATTTTTAGATTTTATTCAACAAGATGATAAATATTTATTAAATTTTGTGAATCATGAAAATATTAATTAATTTTTAATCATTATATTTCACCTTTCAATCTCTTATCTAACAAAATAAGATGCAGATTCTATTATTCCTATGTCCAAACTCCATTTTGTTGTATGACTAAATAATATTCCCATTAGAGCTGGCAAAACGAGTTAATTCGTCCCGTTAAGCCCGTTTTGTGATAGGCAAAATATACTTTGACATGTAGTTAGTCGGTCCGCACGACCCGTGGGTAGCATATATGAAACACAAACCGGTCCCGCGAATGTATGCTGATTTGCGGGGTTGTCCGTGGATTTTGTTTAAATAATTTTAAAGTAACCAAAATTTAAAATACTACTAAAAATAAATAAATAAATAAAAATTAGAGAAAATAATTTTATATATCATTATATTTATAAATATTATAATTTCATTTACTAAAAGTTTTTTAAATTACCACATGTTGAATAAATTATATTTTTATCAATAAATACTAACATGCGGGCTGATCCGCCAACCTGCAAACGAAAACCGATTAAAACCTATGACCCACTGCGAATCAATCTATGTAGCCCGCTTATTTGCAGGTTTAATAAATTTTCCCAAATCTTCCCTATAGTGAGATGATTTGGGTTCGACCCGTGGTTTTTGACCTATTTTTACTGCTCTAATTCTCATGAATCGTCTAATTTTAGAATTCTAAAACACAAAATTCCATTTTGTAATTGTAAATCATAATTAATATGATGAGTTTAATTATAAACAATTTAACATTTTCTCTACAATTTGTTATTATGAATATTTATAAGTACATTACACGATTGGACTAAAAACACGCACAATATTAAAATCAACGTATGTAAACCAATAATCCCCCGCGGTGGACCGCGGGTCCGATCCTAGTATATAAGCATTAAACCAACATTAACAGAAAATAATCACTAAACCAATATTTACACATATAAAAACATAAGAATATGTGCATAATGTTGTAAACAAAAGGAAAAGGAGTACCAAGACCAAGAGTGCTATCAGAGCAATGAACAGAAGATATGACAAAGAGGATAGTAAGGACAAATACGATCAACATTTTCTTGCTAGTAGTCATTTTATATGTTTTTGTCTCAATTTTATTTTTGATGTTTTATGTTTTGGTTCAAATGGTCTTATATATAAAAGAACACAAACATAAGCAAAAGGTATTTTTGAAATCAAAATGAAAACATATATTTCACTTTAGCTTCTTATATTATAATCAGAAGAAAATATATAAGATGATTTTCTTACCTAAATATTTAAGACTGAATTTGATTTGTTAATTCTTATTATATTTATTACTGAATGTGATATTGCTATTAATATTTAAAAATTATTTGATATTGTGATAGTGTAATAATATTTAATACTAAATGTGATATTGCTATTGAACATTAGTGTGATAATATTTATAGGATTTGCTATTATATATAAAAGATAGAATATCATTTGCTATTAAAAAGAAAGAGATTATTTAAAAATCAAATGATTTGTTTTTGATCCGATACCCGGTCATTTCAACCGGTTCATCAGGTTACGGGTTAATGGCAGATTTTTGTGGGTTTTTTTATTCGGTTTTGAAAAGAAAAAATTACCGGACATTAGCACTAAACCTAAACCAGAGAAGTGTACAGATCGCAGATTAACTGATCATACAGAACGGTTCGGATCGGACGTGAAAACACTGATTTATACGTATATAAAGAAATTTATTGAAAGACACAAAATATTCAATCTTTTTAAATATTGAACAATTTTTTTACTTATACAGAAAATTGTGACCATCAACCTTCTCCCGCGCAAGGCGCGGATCCTATATCTAGTTTGCTATTAAAAAGAAAGAGATTATTTAAAAATTTGTTTAGTCTCTACTAGACCTTAAAAGAAAATGTTTTTATTACTATTTTTTAAAATGATATATTTCTATAATAAAATTATAAAATTGATTACTAATTTGTTTTAAAAATATATATAATTTTCTTCTAGAAATATATCATTTTTAAAATTAGTAGTAATAATTATTTATTTTCAGGTTTAGTAGAGAATAACTAAAGTCTTTTTTTTTCAGTAAAATGTTTTTTTTTATCGGAGCATATACATATATAGATTAAAACATATTCTTATATTTTACTCTATCGTTTATATATATTTTTCTTTTATTTGTACACAAAAAAAATCTCTAATTGATAGACTTGATACGTATCACAATCATGTTAATTACTAATTTTTTGCATCTAGTTATTTAATAAAAATAGATTTAATTGAGTGTAACCCATCCCAATCCATTGTCCTAATTAGTTGAGTGTTATATGAATCATGAACTACATTGACTGGGTTAATCCATTAATCCATCAAATTTAAATTATCAGTTTCACCCATAAATTATCTCTTTTTGTTTAGTTTTTCGTGCAATGTAAAAACGGATGATTTGGCACGAAGAGTTCATACCGAACTGTATCACATCACTTATGTAAACAACATTTTTCAGGAATGGCTCTTTTGAATAGATTCAATTATAGATGTTGACAAAAAAAGGCTTAACCAATAAATCTTTTTAATTTCATATATCAAATGGTTAAATAGTTCGACCTATGAACCCATAAATAAATCTTTTTTTTTGTCAACGAACAAATAAACCAACTTTTAATAAATTTATCATCATATTTAGTAATAAATAATTAATTTTTGGAAATTCAAGAACTTAAAGAATCACATTATTTGTGAAAATTTTCTAAAATTGAATTGTTAGTGAAAAATAGGTATATCATTTTAAAAGAAAAAAAGTTAAAACAATATAATTGGTTAACCTTACATCACCCATTTGGCATGTGTATAATAACCTTCTTCCTGAATTCGTGTTTGTCTGAGATGTTTGAATCATTGCTGCTCCACCACAGAAACAACGTCTAGAGATCTCATAGTCACTGTTAGACTGTGTTAGTTTGTCCTCTCTTAAAGTCTGTCTCTAGGAGAAGGAACTTTGAGACATCATCACTATCATCAAATAAAGAAGGGGAGGGACACCAATATAAGTTAATGAGGTCACAAATTCTACATAATTTTGAATTGATTAAGAAATACTCGATGGAATTAATCTTTCTCAACAATCCAAATTCAGACATAGACAAAATCAATGTAATTTAACTACATGAACTTTCGATCTTAAACAGGAAATCGACAAAACACTAACTAAATGAGCTTGTTCAGGAGACAAAAATAAGCTTCGATTTGATTATGTTCTCGACAAAGATGTTGATAAAAAAAGAAAGACAATCCTAAACGCTAGCATTTTAGTTTCTGTAACCAAGATAAAGCCTAATTTTCACGATGGTTAACTAATATAAAGCCTAATTTTCACTGAGGGTTATATTGTATGTGACTTTTGAATTGACTGTATTGACCTGCACTTGTGTTACATGGAAAGTAAAGTTTTTAAAATTTGCGATTTTGAAAGTTTTTTTTTTTTTCTTTAGAGAGAACCATATATATATATATATTAAAAAATGTGATTTTCCCTATATATATATATATATATTAAAAAAAAATGTTTTGATAGCTTCTAAACGAGAAAGAGGTTTTGTGTAATTCTATTGTCTCTCTGCTGTGAGAAGAGAAAAGAAGAAGGAAGATGATGTCCGGTGGGAGCTACACGAACATCGATCACCAGAAAGTTTCTGGATCTGTACCCGTAAGCTCTTTGCACTTGTCCATTGGATTGTATTGTCGATTCTCGTTTTGTTATCTCAATTATGATCAGATCTAGTTTCCATTATCCATCGTAGGCCGTTCCAGATCCTGGCCATGTCACCGTCAAATTCGCAGGTAAACAATTTCGTGAGAATGTTTAGTTTGAATCGACAAAGTAGGAAGAGCTTAGAGACATTTTTGTTTAGTGTGTTGAAGGAAATTGTAATGTTGTTTGTGAGATTTTGCTGGAATTAGTCTTTTAAGGTTTATAAGATTGAATAAAGATAAGATTTAGCAATTGTGTATGTATATTGATCTGTGATTTGATTGAGGTGGTTACATTGTAAATGCAGACTCAAATCTACAAACGTTTCCTCCATCTGCTACTCAGGGAAAGATTTCTGGTGGTACTAATCCTCCTCGAGATGCTGACGGTAATTTATCCTTTAGATTTGCATAAGATTCTATGGAGTTTTGCTCTGTCTTTAGTTAAGAAGTTGATTGAGGAGAAATGTAGGATGTGTGGACTTGTTCATCAACTTCTTTATGTTGATTTCCCCGGTGTTAGTCTTTTTAGTTTGTATGTCTTATTGGCTAATTTTTTTAACTTTTAACCGGTGGCAGATACATTTTCTAGGCCAGTGAATGGTACAGATGAACCTCAGTCTGGTGGTTGGCTCCATAGATTCACTGTTGGTGCTTACAAGCCTTACTTTGATGTGGACACTTCAGATGTCGTAGAGAGACTCAAAGAATCACTCTTTCCGTTCAGAGGAACTTTTACAGAAAAGACAGCAAACAACCCTGATTTGTAAGAGTCTCGTCTTTACAGTTGTTTCGTAAGGTGGAGATAAGTAGACTGATTTAGAAGGAATTTGGTGTGTGTATTACAGATACGGGCCATTCTGGATATGCACAACACTAATCTTTGTAGCAGCATCCATAGGAACATTTGTTACATACATAGCGCACAAATTGAAGAAACAGGAATGGAACTACGATATTAATCTGGTGACTTGGTCTGCAGGAGTGTTTTACGGTTATGTAACTATTGTCCCTCTCGCATTATACGTTGTTCTCAAGTACTTCTCTGCACCATCAGGCTTAGTCCAACTCTTCTGTCTATACGGATATTCCCTATTCGTCTTCATCCCTGCATTGGTAAGTTAGTTTACAAATTCCTCTATTACTCCCAAAATTAGACATCCGATGTGAAAAACCCGAGACTAAGAAAATGCTGTTTCTGCAGTGTCTCTCCGTTGTGCCACTAGAGATCTTCAGATGGGTGATTGCGGGTTTAGCTGGATTCATGTCTGCAACATTTGTGGCATTGAACCTCAAAGCACATATTAACTCTGCAGGAGAGAGATGGTTCTTAATTGTGGTCAGCATTTTTCTTCTACAGCTCGCGCTTTCAGTCGTGCTGAAGCTATATTTGTTCACTGTCACCGTATAAATCATTCCCTCAAGGGAAGAAGCTATGGTTTATTTTCTTGACAGGTGTTTAACTAAGGTACGATTTAAATCTGAATCCGTATAGAGCATGAAAGGAAAGAGTTTTTATACCTTGGAGACTGTCCAATTTTTGTAAAACTAGAGACTGAATCTGTGTTGCATGATTCTTTCATTTGTTATCATCAACATGAATATTATGAATATACTTGGAAAAGAAAAATGTAGAGATCGTATAGTAAATTGTTATGCTACTCTTTTTATGATTTTTTTATTGCAATGCTTGACATATTTTGATTTTTATGAATTTTTTATTGCAATGCTTGACATATTTGAGATATCTAAATTCTAGTTTCTTTATTATGCCAATTGGTGAGATTGATTCAATTACTTAATCTTGTTCTTGTTAAGCAAATTACTTTTGTTGTACATAGATTACGTCTTCCAGTTTTCATTGAAGCAAAAGTTAACAAGAACAATAATTCGCCAAAGAAAAGCAAAAAATACTACAAGAAATCAGATTGATAAATAAAAGGTCCTGGTAAAATAACACAAGTCCAAAAAAGATTCCACAAAATAAAGAAAGTTTATCGAAGTGTTTCATCGATTTAAAGAAAACAGAAGAGTCGTTAATCATAATATATCAATCAAGCTTTCGATTTCTTCCCTTTGGTATCAGCAACTACGGGCTTGGCCTTGAAAGGCAAAAACGTCTCTCCACCCATAAACGGCTGCAGAACCTCAGGGATGTCAACACCATCCTCTCGCTGGTAGTTCTCGAGAATGCAGCAAATGGTCCTCTCTGTTGCAGTAAGTGTCGAATTCAGCATATGCACATACTGCTTTGTCTGCTCATTGCTCTTTTTCTGACCGTATCTGATTTCAAGCCTTCGAGCCTGGTAGTCTGTACAGTTGGAACAGGACACAAGCTCTCTGAAAGTCTCCGACGAAGGAAACCAAGCTTCCAAGTCATACTTTTTGGCAGCTGCATCGTTCAATGCTCCAGAGACGATCGACACGATTTGGTATGGAAGCTTTAGCTGCAGAGAAATCACACAGTTGGCTACTTAGAAACTATCAAAAGATATAAGGTTTCTTAACTTAAGATATCAAAATTACCGCTTGGTAAAAGTCTTCCGAGTTCTTCATCATCTCATCGAGCATTTCCCACGAGGCATTCTCATTAGGACTAGTGATGCAAAACTGTTCAATTTTCTCAAACTGGTGAACACGGAAAATACCAAGTGTGTCTCTTCCATGTGAACCAGCTTCTTTTCTAAAGCAGGACGAATAACCAGCATATCTGGACCAAAAAATATAATGTTGGCGGATATTCCCAATACATGCAAGAAACAATTGGCTTAAATCTGCAAGTAGGTGTTACTATGTTTGTTTATACCTTAGGGGAAGCTCAGTCGGATGAATCCATTCATCAAGATGGTATGCACAAAGAGGCTGCTCAGCAGTTGCAATAAGGTATTTGTCATCTCCTTCACCAGTCACCTGGACAAAAAACCAATCTTCTTTGAATAAAACTACTCTGTAACAACATAATTATACAAATGTATTGTAACGATTAAAGACCTTGTAAAGCTCTTCGTCAAACTGTGCCAATTGTGCGCACTTGGCCATAACATCCTTCCTCATGAAAAAAGGAGGCTGCAATCCTGTGAATCCTCTCTTTTTCAAGAAAGTTAGCCCAAAGTTAATAAGAGCTTGGTTAAGCATCAAACCATCTCCTTTTAAGAAAAAGCCCCTGGCTCCAGCGATTTCAGCACCTGAGGACATAATAGCATTACAATGAAACCCAATAGCACAAAAACCCACTAACACAGAATGAAGGAGGTCGCCAAAGTGTCAGTCAATGCTACCTCTTTTGGTATCTGCAATACCGAGAAGCTCAACAAGATCCACATGGTTTTTCAGCTTCAGACCAGGCGTAGAAAACCGCTTTTCACCCCACAGTTTAATCACAAGATTATTAGCCTGCATACAAAAAACACCATAAACTTCTAAATCTCTCTCAAGTCTCACCACCAAGCAGACAAACTTTGAAAGAACAAAATGGCACTAACCTCATCCTTATCAATAGGAACAGAGTCATGAATCAAGTTACCAACTGTCTCCAACTTGGCTTTCAAAGCAGCATAAGCTTCACGAACTTCTGCCTCCTTTGCAGTAGAATCTTGTTTGTTTTTCTCGGTCTGTTGAATAATCTCAGTTGCATCTTCTTTTTTCTATTCCAAAGAAACCACAAACAAAAATTTACTATTACTAACTTCAATCATTGTTCATTCAAACGAGCTAACATCATTCCTCAACTATGCCATTGACACTAATATCACGCAAGACTTGGTTTAGTAAATTCTCAAATTCCAGATCCTAAGAACAACCACTACGGATCTAAGAGAAGTTTCCAGTAAAATTAGAGATAAACTAACAATTTTGAGCTGCGCCACTTGCTTATTGAGCTTGTTGAACTCTTTCCTGAAGCTATCAACTTCAAATTGACCTGAAACAGAATAAAATTTGATAGCATCAAAGCTCAAATTCGTAAGGAGAGAAACGATGAGAGCGAGCAAATGGATCGATCGTGGAGACTTACGCTGACGCCATTCTTTGTCGAGCTTGATAATCTCATCCACGACTTCAACGCTGGCAAATCTCCGGCGTTGCGATTCTCGAATAATCTCCGGATTGTTACCTTTTTCTTCACGAAATAGATTGATATCCAACATTTTCGTGCTCTTTCTCTGTGAATCAAAAGCAGAAACAGAAATTTGAATCAGTCAAAACTCGAGATTGAGATTTTTGGAGATGAAATGAAATGGAGAAACAACGTATGATCAGAATTCGAAGAGAGACGTACTTGGTACTGTGGAGAGGAAGATGAGACTTATCAGCGGCGTCGATTTGACCTTTGCGAGGAAGATAATGGAGGTTAGGGTTTTTGAGTTCTCTCTGATACGTTTTTTTATTAGTTATGATAAATAGCAAACATATCCCTTATTTGTTTTCTAATTCACAATAAGTTCCCAAAGGTTTTAGATTTGTTACAGAAACTCCTCACTCATTATATAATATAATACTAACATCATCTAATTATATAATTCCACGTCGTGACACTACATGAAATGAACTATGTATATTCAAACGAAATTGTAGAATCATAAATAAATGTGATTTAACAATATCTCCAGAAAGTAAAGAATCCCAAAATTTCTTACTAAAACCAAAGTTTTTAATTTTCCAAAAAAACTATGACCCCAAAAGTTTTTTTCTTATTATTATTACTAAATTTGGTGATTAAATTCTTACTAATTAATTTCATGTATTCATGGATTGATTTAACCAGCTCAACCAAATGTATTTATAGATTGATCCGTTTCATTTAAGTTTTTGAGTGGATTCATGGGTTACTACCACTTAGCCTAATCTATTTAGCCCACTTAAATATTTGATTGTTGATTTTCTAGGGTTTATTTAATTTCAATCTCTCTGGAATAGAATTTGATTTCTTGTAGACCATTACAACTTTTTATGGTTTTAATGGTTCCCGGGAAAACAAAACCATATGTTTTTCCAGTGAACTTAAGAAAGCTTCTAAAACATGGTCTCCTCGGTTATGTTTCTGATTTAGGGTGTTCATCTCTGTGTTGACAGCAAAATCATTGGATTAAAAGCTTGGAGAGCACTCTATATGGACTGTATCAGTTTGTTGCCCGATACTTTCATTGTTTCCAACAAAAGATGTCTTGAAGACATGTGTTTTGTCAAAACGATGGCGATATCTTTGGAAGTTAATTAGTGCCTTAAACTCGAGTACATCGACAATAAATTAAAGTTAAAATTTTATTGAAAACCAAATACAAGAAGATTTTTAACAAATGGAAAGTAAAGAAAATCTGTATTTTATAATTTGCAAGACTTGTTGGACAGACTTCATCTTTTGAAAGGCATAAACTTCTTGCCGCCCATATACGGCTGCAAAACCTCAGGAATGTCAACACCATCCTCTCGCTGGTAGTTCTCAAGAATACAGCAAATGGTCCTCTCTGTCGCGGTAAGAGTCGAATTCAACATATGAACATACTGCTTCGTCTGACCATTGCTCTTATTCTGACCATATCTAATATCAAGCCTTCGAGACTGATAGTCTGTACAGTTTGAACAGGACACAAGCTCTCTGTAAGTCTCTGAAGCAGGAAACCATCCTTCCAGGTCATACTTTTTAGCAGCTGCATCGTTCAAAGCTCCAGAGACAACCGATACAACTCGGTATGGAATTTTAAGCTGCAGAGGAATTAATCATTATAACAATTAGAAAACATTTGAAAAACTTTTCCTAAGGTATTATATTCTTAACTTAAAATTACATACCGCTTGGTAAAATTCTTCCGAGTTCTTTAACATCTCTTCGAGCATCGCCCACGAATCATTAGGACTGGTGATGCAAAACTGTTCAACTTTCTCAAACTGGTGAACACGGAAAATTCCAAGTGTATCTCTTCCATGAGAACCAGCTTCTTTTCTAAAACAGGTCGAGTAACCAGCATATCTTTTGGGAAGCTCGGTCGGATGGATCGTTTGATTACGATGGTATGCACAAAGAGGTTGCTCAGCAGTTGCAATAAGAAATTTGTCATCTCCTTCACCAGTCACCTGAACAAAAACAAGAATCAAACCTCAAAAACTAGTCTTAACAACATAATTAAGCAAAAGTTGTGTAACGATTTAAAGACCTTGTAAAGCTCTTCATCAAACTGTGCCAGTTGTGCGCATTTGGCCATAACATCCCTCTTCATGAAAAACGGAGGTTGTAAAGGCGTAAATCCTCTATCTTCCAAAGAGTCTAGCGCAAAGTTGATAAGAGCTTGGTTAAGCCTCACACCAAATCCTTTTAAGAAATAACCTCTCCCTCCAGCAATATCAGCACCTGAGACCAAATTAACATTGTTACACGGATTTGAGAAGGTGATGACTTAAGTGTTAGTCAATCAATGTTTAATTACCTCTTTTGGTATCTGCAATACAGAGAAGCTCAACGAGATCCACATGGTTTTTCAGCTTCAGATCAAGTGTAGAAAACCGCTTTTCACCAAACAGTTTAATCACAAGATTATTTGCCTGTAGCATATATGAAAAAAAACTTATATAACTATCTCACTCTTTTCTTTCATTCACCACAATGCCGACAAAAAGACGACACAACAACATGACTATTACCTCGTCCTTATCAAATGGAACCGAGTCATGAACCAGATTTCCAACTGTCAACAATTTGGCTTGCAAAGTAGCAAAAGCTTCACGAACTTCAACCTCTCTCGCGGTAGCGTCCTGTTTGTTTTTCTCCGTTTGCTGAATAATCTCAGTCGCATCAGCTTTAGCCTATTCCAGAGAGAAACCAAAAAAAAAAAAAAGTTACTATATATTACTAAAACCTCCAACAAATTCATTCAAACAAATTCCTTAGAGATAAAAACTAACAATTTTTAGCTCAGCCACGTGTTTATTGAGCTTGTTGAACTCTTTCCTGAAGCTATCAACTTCATATTGACCTGAAACGTTTCATAAATTAAGATAACATCAAATTAAAGCTCAAAATTCTTAAGGAGAGAAATTAACGACGATAGGGAGATGTGAATATACTTACACTGACGCCATTCTTTGTCGTGTTTAATAATCTCATCAACAATCTCAACGTTGGCAAATCTCCGACGTTGCGATTCCCTGATGATCTCTGGATTGTTACCTTTCTCCTCACGGAATAGATTGATATCCATAATGTTTAATTTCGTGCTCTTTCTCTGTGAATCAAAAAACAGAGAAACAAAGTTTTATACGTAGCTTAGAAGAACTTCACCGATCAGCTACACGTACAAATTGTTCTGTTATTGATATCAAGAGAACACATGCAGCGTAGGGTTTTATTAAGGTTTTATTAGGGTTTTATTAGGGTTTACTCTCAATTCTTTCCTCTTTTTTTTTTTTCTAAACAAAAACAAATTTTCATGTTTTATCCAAAAAAAAGAAAGAATTCGTATTTTTATAACCTGAAAATTGATAAATCTACAAATTCCACTAAAAAAAATGGCAAACTCATAATTGATATTTTTTTTTTCTAAACAAAAACAAAATTTTCATGTTTAGTCAAAAAAAAAAACTTCTGGGCTTTTTATGTTATTCTTCAACGGCCCAAATCCACTATCACCGTCTCTTCTTCGTCTTCGTTTGAGATTTTTCGAGCAAAGACCCGAACCAGTCTCGCAGCGGCTCCAAATGCTGATTCGTTGCGTTGCGAAGACGAGGCTCACCACCACCGGCGTAGCAAGGCTCGTGTCTTCACTTGCAGATGGTTCGGATACGTCATCAGTCGCACATCGAAATAGCTTGAAGGAGATTCTGAGAAAGAACGGTCCACGACGCAGTGTTACCTCTCTGCTTCAGGAACGAATCGATTCGGGTCACGCCGTCGCGTTATCGGAGCTCCGGCTAATCTCAAAGCGTCTCATTAGATCTAATCGCTACGATCTCGCTCTCCAGGTTTGGAATTTCTCGCTTAATTAAACTGAGAATTAAGCTTTTTATGGAAGTTTCAGATTCTTTGTGTTGTGTATATATACAGATGATGGAGTGGATGGAGAATCAAAAAGAGATTCAATTAAGTGTTTATGACATTTCTCTTAGATTAGAGTTAATCATCAAAACTCATGGCTTGAAACAAGCAGAGGAGTATTTTGAGAAGCTACTAAATAGCTCTGTCTTGTTGAGAGTAGCGAAATCGGCTTTTCTTCCTCTTCTTCGCGCTTATGTGAAGAAGAAAATGGTTAAAGAAGGGGAAGTTTTTATGGAGAAGTTGAATGGATTGGGGTTTCTTGTTACTCCACACCCGTTTAACGAAATGATGAAGCTTTATGAAGCTAGTGGTCAGTATGAGAAAGTTGTTATGGTTGTTTCGATGATGAAAGTGAATAAGATACCGAGAAATGTTCTTTCGTATAATCTTTGGATGAATGCTTGTTGTGAAGTGTCTGGTGTTGCGGCTGTGGAGACGGTTTATAGGGAAATGGTTGGTGATAAGAGTGTTGAAGTTGGGTGGAGTTCGTTGTGTACTTTGGCTAATGTTTATATTAAGGGTGGGTTTTATGAGAAGGCTAAGTTGGTTCTTGAGAATGCGGAAAAGTTGTTGAATAAAAGTAATAGGCTTGGATATTTCTTCCTTGTCACGCTTTATGCGTCTTTAGGGAATAAGGAAGGAGTTGTTCGTTTGTGGGAAGCTTCTAAATTGGTTTGTGGTAGGATTAGTTATGCAAACTACATATGTGTATTGTCGTCTTTGGTGAAAATTGGTGATCTTGAAGATGCTGAAAGGGTGTTTAGTGAGTGGGAGGCTCAATGCTTTAACTATGATGTTAGGATCTCCAATGTTCTTTTGGGTGCTTATGTGCGTAATGGAGAAATCCGCAAAGCCGAGTCATTGCACGCCCGTGTATTGGAGCGAGGAGGTAATCCAAACTACAAGACTTGGGAAATCTTAATGGAGGGGTGGGTGAAATGTCAAAGTATGGAGAAAGCCATTGTTGCTATGCACCGAGCTTTTGAACTAATGAAGGGATGCCACTGGAGGCCGTCGCAGAAAATTGTCATGGTGATTGCCGAGTACTTTGAGAAAGAGGAGAAAATTGAAGAAGCAACTGCATATGTTAGAGATTTGCATCGGCTTGGTCTTGCAAGCTTACCGTTATATAGATTGTTACTCAGAATGCATGAACATGCCCAGAGACCAACTTCTGACATCTATGAAATGATGAAGTTGGACAAAATTCGAATAGATGAGTAAAAAAGGTGATTAAAGTGAAAGCAAAACTTTTTGATGTAAAAGTATATGTTTTCACTAGAGGAAGTAAAACAGTCATTTCATATTTCCAATCATGTCTTTTATAAATGCATTAAATTCAACAATTGAAACACAACAATTTCAAAAATTAACTAAACAATCTTTGCTTGTTTTCAATCATTTTTCACATGGTAATAAAGCAATTTTACATTCAACACATCAGTTATAAGAAAAATTGACAAATTGGGTTCTAATTTGCAGCCTTCTTGAAGTACACAAGTCAGCAAGCTTAAGAATGGTGAGAGGCCAAATATGATTTTCCGGTCTGGTCAATAACTAATCTGAGCTCCGTTACCACCAATTGATGCCGTGAAGCACTGAAAACCGCTGGACTCGAGCTCCTCCACCACTTTGTCCACCACCGTTCCTGAAACCAGTTTGTTTTGCAGAGGGGGATTCATTAAAATTCAAGAATCAAGAACTCAAATTGACAGAAAGGATGATTGAAAATTGCTGAAAAAGGATACCGGTTGGTAATAGAGTGAGGACGCAACCGCCACCACCAGCTCCTGTCAGTTTGGAGACAAGCTTGTGCTTGACCGTGGTTAGGATCACAGCCTCGATCGAGCTGTGGCTAACCCCCATTGACTGGAGCAGACCTTGGTTCATCTCCATGAGTTCTTTTATTCTCTCTTCTTTCTCTGTAACTGAGGTCTCGTCTTTAGATTGAATGATCGCAGCGAGCTCTTTGCTTATAGAATCCACGGCGTTGAACACCGAGTTCATCGCATCGGGATGTCTTGCCGCTCTCTGTGACACACCAGAGACCAGGGCTTTTGTGTTCCGCCCGACTCGAGTGTTGGTAATTAGCATTCTCAGAGGCATGTTGGATTGTAACCGAGTGATCTCGCCTGAGCAGAACTTGATCATGTTGCCTGCAAGCACCGCGAAACAGAAACGGTTTTCTCTAACATATAATTGAAATTTTGATCCGAGGATTTGGAGTTATACAGTTAGAACAAACCGTATGCACTGACGGTGTTGTCTATCCCAGAAGGTTTTCCATGGATGATCTTTTCGCCTTCGAAAGCCCATTTATTTAGCAACTCAAGATTGGTTTCATCGAGAGATGACCAACCATTACCATGGGTTTTATCTGAAATAGAAGAAGCGAGGAGAGCAGCTGTGAGAGCTACACATAAAGCTGCTGATGAACCGAGGCCAGATCCGTATGGAAGCTCAGAGTTAATGACAACTGTAGCCGGATTGAACCTAAAAAAAAAAAAAAGAAACGTGAAACACAACAAGATGAAGAACGCGGAAAAAATGTCTGCAAGAACATAAAAATGCAACTATTTTGAGTTATCTACCCTATAATTCTGGTGTATAACCAGAGAAACGTGGAGATCCCAGAGGAGAGCCAGATCTTTTCCTTTGGAAGATTTTGCTCTTCGACCAAAACTGCAATTGATTTAAGGGTCTCCTGTGAACATGAAGTCGGCGTAGAACGGCACAAAGTGGTTGAATCATAAGGAATTGCTTCTTTGATTCTGGCCAAGGACCAGGAAAACTCCAAGGAAATGTCCTTGAGCTGAAGTGTAAGCCTATCACTGTTCTCAGCTGTCAGAAAAGAAACATAAAGCTTCAGATTTGTTTCTACATTGGGACAAAAGAGTATGACCAAACTAATCAACGATCAAATCATTTAGTCGATGCGAAAAAGGAATTGAATTCAGTACTAAGGTCAAGTCATTTGCTACAGATCTGCCTATACACTCTTAAGAAACACATTATCCATAGATGTTTGAACTGGAATCCAACAAGCAGGAGCGCACTGAATGAATTAACCCGTGTTACATAGAAGGCGGGATACTCTACCATCTTAATGCAGCCTCAAACCCTTTGATAGTACTATTATTTAGTGACATTAGCTAAAAACATAGACAATAATAACATGAACATTCAATGTCTAGAACCCAAATCAGATGTGAACAGATATAAATTCAAGGATTTCCGGGGGATTGGTTAGTTCTGGATCCAGAGTTGAAACTAGAGAAACAAGAAATGTTATATTCCCAAGTAAATAAAAAAAAGCTCAGATCTTTTTGCTAATCATATCTCTATATCAATTCACTTAATGAGTTCAAATCCATTTGGTGATCTCAAGGAGCTTAAAAGGAACCTGATTGAAGAGGAAAGCGGAGAGTAACGTAAGTGTAGAGATCAATAGCGGCAGCTACTGCGGTGGATCCATGAACAACCGCATGTTCGCCTGCGAGTATGATCTTCCCAGGAGCTCTAGCTTTCACTTCCATTTTCCTAAATCAAACACAAAAGTGAAAAGCTTTTGAATTTGAACAAAAAAAATAACAAGAAAACAGACAATATTCACAACAAGCAAAAAGAGCTTATCAGAATCAACTAATAATTGAACACACCAACTCTGGAAATAAAATAAAATAATAGCCTTTGCTACGAAATGTGGATCAGATCAAAAGGGTTTTATTATAATTGGGATCTGATACGGATCTGTATTAAACTAAAGACTACAAATTTATACATTATATCCAAAAAAATGGTAAATTTGAATCAGATAAAGCTGCTCGGAGATCGAACACAAAGTTGGGAATTTTAAAAATGAAACTATAAAATTCTTTCTTCTCCTTCTTCTCATTGACTTCATTGTCTTACCTCAAGCGATGCGAATTCAAAACAGAGATTCAATAGACAGAAACAGCGTACCTGGAATTGCTGAGAAAAAGAAGAAACCTAGAAGATGGAAAAATGTCTCAAGCCAACGAGAATCGTGTTCAATGAGGATGATGATAGTAGTGTTAAATAACCGATTCTGGTTTCACATTTCCGGTTCGGAACATATAAATGTAATTTGACCCACTTTAACAAGGTTTTAACCTTGGGTTAAAAGCAATTTGTCTTATACTAATATCTGCTTATTGTGAGAATTTTACTAAGAAATTTTTACTTACAATTTGAATTTTATCGGTTTATTGATTTTCGGTTTTGGGTTTGATTTGGTTTGGTTCGAAGAAACAAATCCCATACGCATTAGCAACGGCTATTTCTTTTGTCTCTAACCAAACTAAAAATTTTGGGATTAGACGAGAAACAAGAAAACAGAAATTGCGGTAATGACTCTTCTTCATCTGACATCGCATCTCAATGGGTTTCATTTTCTTAATCCACAACAAAGTTCGAAACTTTCATCAATATCTCAAGTCTCTGTGTCGATTTCACATCGAACCCAGTTCCAAAGTTTGGTTCTTTGTGCAAAGAAGAGAAAAAAAAGAGTCGGGTATCGAAGAATCACGAGGTTTTTGTTCAATTCAATGTCTTTACTGTCACCTAATCTCCAGATTTTACCACAGCCGTTGGATCTTGTTATTGCTGATTTGGGCGGCGTAGATGGAGGAGGAAGAGGAGGAGGGTTAGGGTTTTGGAGAGGATGGGGAAGATTTGATGGATGGAGAAGGAAAAGGAACAGAGTACCAATTTTGGTTTTTGTTTGTGTGATTTTATGGATTTATGGTTTCTGCAAAATCTCTGGGATAGAGATTAAGAGTGAAATGGTTTTGAAGGTTTTGGGGCTTTGTTTCTTTGGTGTCACTATGGTTAGAGAGTTGAAGAGAGAGGCTAGATTTTTGGTTTTTGGGTTTCTCTGTTTTGTTGCTTCATTTGTTTTTGGATTCAAGAAAGAGCATTTGGTGAAATTAGCTTCGAGAGTTAGATCTTCTTCTTCAGTTCTTCTAAGTAACAGGAGAAGTCATAGAAGAGTGTAAATTGAGAGTTAGATTATTCTGTTGTTTACTCCATTTTCGTTCAATTGAGATTTCGTTTGCTAGACTTTGATGAATTTGTCTGAAAATTGGATGTGATTAATTGTTACAATTTTGGTACCACTGAATGAAACCAGAGTAAGGTTATCAAGAAGCACTCAATGGTGTAGCGTAAGCAACTCCATGGCTTAAAATTGATCAGAAACTCAAGTCATAGAATAATTCATTCCTCTAAGCTGAACTCATACCTATCTTCACGATTTGACAACAGACCATGTTGTTTTCGAATGTACATGTTCTATGAATGCGATCAAAACAATTGGGTATATGCAGAGTAACGGTGGTATGAAGCTAGTCAAAGAGTCGATGAAGAGAAAAAGGATAATATCATATGTTCTTGGCTCATAATTCATTCCAAAACAATGTTTTCAACTTCATGCCAGTATACAGATCAGCAAGTCTAACTTAACATCTGAAATATAACTCTCTTCTTTCCTAGTTTAAGAGATTTTCGTTAACCTTAGATGATGCAGGAGGAGGAGCTTCATCATCATCTGTATGCATTGGGTAAACGATAACCAGACATAACTATTTTGTCAGCAAACATCTTGCCAGTCTTGGGCATGACATGCCAGTGCAATGTCAAGTTGAAGTCCTTCCCTCGGAGGTTGTGTCCCTAGAAAGAATCCCATTCACAAAAATCAGATACCCTCAGAATTACACAAAGGACTGGTATTTCAAGAGGGGATCACAGAAAGTGCTTTATCTACCTGATCTATGAAACGGTACTTGTTTGAGATTTGTATCCAGAATTTGGCATGCTCTTTTTCAGGTATTATGGCATCCCATAGTGAAACCTGTGGAAAATGTCAAATGTTAATGGTATATCAACAAAAAGGGTCCCAATCTATGTCACAGGTATGAAGAAGCCAGTAACACTAAAACCACATAACCCTTAACTAGTTCTTAGCTCCAACGAGAGCAGTAGGTTATATAAAGCATTTGAAGCAACATAGTTTTATAGTTTATACCTGATTGAGGGCGTTCTTGGAGGTTTCATACTCTGCTGCTACAAAAGCAAATACCTGCAAATGTTTTCGTGAGTGTTGGTTTTATGTTCATCCGACCATACAAAAGTGGTATACAACCAAGACAGTATATAACATTGGGAAGACTTAAGGATATACAAAAAGAGATAGATTGGTATACTTTCAAATGCTATACCTGCTTTGTGTTCCAAGTAAAAAGTGACTGCAAGTCTGCTGTTATGTTCAGTGTCAAGCTGACCTGAAAACGCGTAAAACGCTAAGCCGTTAGAATATATGAGACACGTAAAGGGCAGCCTGATGATTCAATAAAGAAGAAAAAGTTAACTGGTATATGTACAGGCTGAAAATAACCGAGTATAAACTCATTAACTAATATCACGTCTAGAGTATAATAATCAACTTGGACAATTTGACTTCAATATGGCTTTCAAGAGTAGGCTAATGTAAAATCTTTATATTTAACTACAATGTTCAAAGAAACAGTCGCATCTGAACCCCTGTGGCCATCAAATTCAATGAATACTAAGCACACTAGAGCATATATATCGGTGGCACAAACCAAGCAATCATAGACACTTCCAGTGAAGACAAAGAAAGCCGTAAGAAGAGGCAAGAGCATGAAACCTTACCTCATCATTTCCATGAGGTTGCTTCTGAAACCAATTGATATTCAATATCTGCAAAACACAGCACAATCATTAAAAAAATTCCCTCAAAATAGCTCAACCATTACAATTTTCCAACTACAACGCCAGAATCCAGCAAAATTAGGGATCTAAAACAACTTGACCTAAAATATGCACACATAGATCCATGATACACTAAGAGATCATTGAATTTGAACCAACACACATACCTGGATCTGAGCAGAGGGATTTTGGTTACTGAAGTTATCAGAGAAGGAAGCAATCGCGCAAATGAAAGCCAGGATCGTGACGGCGAATGTGAGCAGAGCATTGGCTCTGTAACCAAAAGAATGCATCTTCTTTCAATCGGAGTTTGCTCTCGACGATCCCAAAACCTTTCTCTGCTCCGAGGAAGAAGAAGAAGATTGAATGTATTTTTTTTTACCTTATTAAAATTTATAATTCTTTAATATTTATTTATTTCCTTGACGCTGTGTAATGTGATTGGCCGAGACACGTAGAGTATTACATAAATGATAAATCATATAGTAAACCGACATTCCGGTTTACAATAGCACCGGTTCAGAAAATTGCTGATTGGTTCTGTCTCCGACCCGATTACTAATTAGGAATTGTTCCAAAAATATGTTGAACGTAATAGCAAAGTTTTCAGGTCAGCTTGACACTAAGCCATTTGCGATTTTGAGAGATCCATTTAGTCGTTTTGAGAGAGACCCATTAGGGTTATGTGAATTCTTATGAGATCTTTAGCCTTTGAGTTTCTCTTGAGTGTTTGTCTTTGAGTTTGAAAGTTTCTCGCAGCTTGAGACTTCTCGTAACTTTATGATTTTGTCATTAGACTTGTATGTAAAGGAGAGACATAGATTAAGGCTATAATTGTAATTAATCATTAGCTTAACCTAAGATCATCACTATATATACATTGTAAATCATTTCTCTTCAAAGTAATACAATCACAGTTTATATGGTATCAGAGCAGGTCCTTCCAAAGACCTAAAATTTTTTTTTTCTCCAGCCGCCTCTCTCTCCTTCTTCTCCTTCTTCTTCTTCGCCACCTTCTTCTTCTTCATCAAGTAACTCTATTTCTCCTCTTCTCATATCATGGCTGCCAACACAGCCGCAATTGTGATCTCCGACACAACGTCGCTTCTCCACGTGAACATGTCCAATGTGACGTCAGGTTCATGCTCTGTTAGATGGGTATGATTTAGCTGGCTATGTCGACGGCTCTCTTGCTGTGCCCGATGAAACTGTTACGGTTAACGGCATCACAGCAACAAACGCTGCTTATAAACACTGGAAGAGGCAAGACAAACTGATTTACTCCGGTCTCATCGGTGCGATCTCAGGGACGGTGCAGCCTCTCCTTTCTCAAGCAATCACCTCTGCTCAGATTTGGAGCAAACTCACGGATACGTACGCAAATCCAAGTCGGGGACACATAAAACAACTCCGGGAACAACTCAAAGTCTGGAAGAAAGGGACCAAGTCCATCGATGAGTTCATCCAAGGCTTCACAACAAGATTTGATCAACTCGCGTTGCTCGATAGCGCAATTGCTCATGAAGATCAACTCGACTATATCATTGCCGGGCTGCCTGAAGACTACAAACAAGTCGTTGATCAGATTGAAGGCCGTGAGAAACCACCAACAATCACGGAATTCCATGAGAAACTGATCAATCATGAACTCAAGCTTCAAGCATTGGCATCGGCCTCCTCCTCCTCCTCTGTTCCTGCCACTGCGAATGCTGCCTCCTACAAGCCTAGCAACAACAACAATTCCCGCAATCAGAAGTTTGGGAATCAAAGGAATCAGTCGTGGCGTCCAAACTCTCGTAATTCACAAGGTCGTGGATATCAGGGACGGTGCCAGATTTGTGGCGTTCATGGTCACAGTGCCCGGCGCTGCTCACAACTCCAATACCCGGGTAGCAACTATCCATCATCTGGTGGTGGCTACCAGTCCTCCGGTGGTGGCTATCCACCATCTGGTGGTGCCTATCAGTCATCTCCGATGACACCGTGGCAGCCTCGGGCTCACATTGCATCTGCGCAGCCATACAATGCATCACCATGGATCCTCGATAGCGGAGCAACGCATCATCTCACATCGGATCTTGCAAACTTGTCGCTTCACCAGCCATATAATGGAGGAGAGGAAGTGACCATCGCCGACGGTTCTGGGCTGCCGATTTCGAATATCGGTTCTGGTTTACTTCCTACCCCATCACGTTCTCTTGAACTCAAAGATGTTTTATATGTTCCAGATGTTTGCAAGAACCTAATTTCGGTTTATCGAATGTGCAACACTAATAAAGTTTCGGTTGAATTCTTTCCTGCACATTTTCAGGTGAAGGATCTCAGCACGGGGGCCCGGTTACTCCAAGGCAGAACTAGGAATGAGCTATATGAGTGGCCGGTTAATCACAACTCCATCACCACCTTCTCGGCATCACCATCACCAAAAACCGACCTCTCTTTTTGGCACTCTCGACTTGGGCATCCTTCTTTACCAATTCTTAAAGCTGTTATTTCTCAATTTTCTTTACCATTTTTCCCTACTCAACAAAAACAATTGTCTTGTTCCGATTGTTTGATCAATAAAAGTCACAAATTGCCTTTTGCTTCAAACACAATATCCTCTTCTCAACCTCTTGAATATCTATACTCCGACGTATGGACGTCTCCCATTATTTCAAATGATAACTTCAAATATTATTTGGTGATTGTGGATCATTTTACAAGGTATACATGGTTGTATCCCTTGAAGCTGAAATCTCAGGTGAAAGAGGTGTTTGTTGCATTCAAAGCATTGGTGGAAAACAGATTTCAGAGTCGTATACGCACGCTTTATTCTGATAATGGTGGGGAGTTCATTGCGTTGCGGTCGTTTCTGGCGTTACACGGTATATCTCATCTTACCACTCCTCCACATACGCCGGAACACAACGGCATATCCGAGCGAAAACATCGCCATATTGTTGAGACAGGCCTCACGTTACTAAACCAAGCATCAGTTCTGAAGTCGTATTGGCCATATGCATTCGCCACAGCAACATACTTGATCAAGCGCATGCCAACAGACGTATTAAGTGGTGCATCACCATATGCTAAACTCTTCAAACAGCCTCCTAATTATTTGAAGCTTCGCGTCTTTGGCTGCGCCTGCTATCCATGGCTACGCCCTTATGCTGCTAATAAGATGGAGAATCGATCAAATTTGTGTGTGTTTGTTGGCTATTCACTCACACAAAGTGCATATTTATGCTTGGATATTAAGAGTGGTCGAGTTTATACGTCAAGACATGTTCAATTCGTGGAGTCTCATTTCCCGTTCACCACACCACCTCCGGCTACAACTACACCGGAGTTGTCATCTCTCGGTGAACAGCGGCCAACTATAATTCCGGTGCCGCCAGTCACTCCCATAGCTCATTCTACGCTGCCCTCGTGCTCGGATCCTCACCGCCAGCCGGCTGCTTCACCGTCACCAGACCAGTCCGCCACTCCATCTCAGGTACATTCATCTCCTCAAAATAATGTTGTGTCTCCTCAGGTCTCTTCGCCACAGTCGTCATCCTCCTCCTCTGCAAATTGTGATGAGGCCACACAGAATACACAGGCCCATAATAATGAAACAGACCAAGCCCACTCAAAAAGCCCAAACACTAGCCAAAAATCAGGCCCAACAACATCCAACCAAAACACGTCTTCTTCCTCCTCTCACCACTCCAACGCCGAAACAGAGAGCTATGCTCCCTCAAACCCAGTCGTTCCCATACCTCCTGTTCCACCACCACCACCACAAAATCATCATCCTATGCGAACTCGATCCAAAAATCAAATTACCAAACCAAAAACAAAATTCAGTCTCACCACCACAAAATCACCATCGATCCCGACAACTGTGGCACAAGCAATGAACGACCCGAATTGGCGTCACGCCATGGCTGAGGAGATCAATGCACAGATGAGAAACCATACCTGGGATTTGGAACCGCCACCGCCGAACAAAAATATCATTACGTGTAAGTGGATATTTACTCTCAAATATCGAGCTGACGGTTCAATTGAAAGGTACAAAGCGCGGTTGGTTGCAAGAGGTTTCAATCAACAATATGGTATTGATTATGAGGAAACATTCAGTCCGGTGATCAAATCTACCACCATTCGGCTAGTACTTGAAGTTGCGGTTAAATGCAATTGGAGTATCCATCAAGTCGACATCAATAATGCGTTTCTTCAGGGTACCTTAACCGATGAAGTCTATGTCTCGCAGCCACCGGGGTTTATAGACCGAGATCGACCTCATCATGTATGTCGGTTAAAGAAAGCATTATACGGGCTCAAGCAAGCTCCTCGCGCGTGGTATCAGGAACTCCGAAACTTCTTGTTACAAACCGGTTTTGTCAACTCTCTTGCAGACACCTCACTATTCATCTACAAACGGGGCCGTGAATTTATATATGTTCTTGTTTATGTCGATGACATCATAATCGCAGGGAATGCTAGGCTGGTTCAATCGTTCAATGCCTCACTTGCTAACCGCTTCTCCTTGAAAGATCTTGGTCCGTTGAGTTACTTTTTGGGTATAGAGGCTACACGGACACCGCGAGGCCTTCACTTGATGCAGCGTAAGTATATCACTGATCTTCTTGCCAAGAATCATATGCTTGATGCTAAACCGGTTGCCATGCCAATGTCTCCGTCACCAAAGCTATCACTACTTTCGGGAACGGCTCTAGATAATGCTCATGAGTATCGTGTTGTTATTGGAAGTCTACAATACTTGGCATTTACGAGGCCCGACATCGCGTTTGCTGTGAATCGCTTGTCACAATTTATGCATAGACCGACTGATGAGCATTGGCAAGCTGCCAAGAGGGTGTTGCGTTACCTCGCTGGCACCAAATCTCATGGTATATTCCTCCGCTCCGATGCTCCGCTGACAGTTCATGCCTTCTCCGACGCCGATTGGGGAGGTGATATGGATAACTATAGCTCCACCAATGCTTACATCATTTACCTTGGTGGCAGCCCGATCTCTTGGTCCTCAAAGAAACAACGAAGTGTAGCACGATCTTCAACCGAAGCGGAATATCGAGCTGTTGCCAATACGGCCTCGGAACTCCGCTGGGTATGTTCTTTATTATCTGAAATGGGCATTTCATTACCTACAGCCCCTGTCATTTACTGTGATAATATGGGAGCTACGTACTTATGTGCAAATCCCGTCTTTCACTCAAGAATGAAACACGTTGCTCTCGACTATCATTTCGTACGCGGCTATGTTCAGTCCGGTGCTCTTCGAGTGTCTCATGTCTCGACAAAGGATCAGTTAGCTGATGCTTTAACCAAGCCGCTACATCGTCCACGTTTTCAAGAGCTCAACAACAAGATTGGAGTCAA